AAACTATTTTTATAATAATATTAAGATATTATAGTTTCTAATATGGTATATATGGATAGGTATAACCTATGTAAACAAAAGCTCTTTGCAGAGGATCCTCAATAATTTTAAGAGTGTAAAGGGGTCTTGAGATCAAAAAACTTGAAAATCACTGTTTTAAACAACCCTATGAGGAAGGTAAAGGCACTATTATCCTTGCTTTACAAACAAGGAAACTCAGACTAAGATAGGTTAAATAATTTGCCATGGTCACAAGAGCAAATGAGTCAGAGGTAGGATTTAAACTCAGATCTAGAACTTGCCCCTACCCTAAGATGCTTTTCCTTACAATAGTTCTGTGAAATCTGTAGGTGCAAGTGATTATTCTCATTTTACAGATGGAGAAACTGAGGGTCAGGCAGATGAATTTACTTCCCCAGAATTACACAGCTAGTAGGTATCAGAGCCTAGACTTGTACTCAGATCTTCTCATTCCAAGGCCTTCTTCGACCTTTATACATTTATGTGAGTGTGTGTGTGTGTGTGTGTGTGTGTGCGCGTGCACGCCTGTGTATGCGTGAAAATATATACTGAGTATTTTCATAAGGGAAAGGGGAGCATTTGTCTACTTATCTACCTGAGGGAAAGACTCTAAATTGCCTTTCAGTGGGCACCTGGTCTGGATTGTCTTCTATATTCTAATCCAGTCAAGATTAGTGACCATGGCTGATATAGTGCTCTCCCATCAAAGACGTAGTGCCACTAAATCTGGGCTGGGATGTAGAAGGGGCCAGGTCCCTGTTTCCTACTCTTAGATATCTGTGAAGAGAGGAGGAGGAGAATAAGAAGGTGATCTCTGAAGGCCTATGTAGCTCTAAATCTGTGATCCTAGGACAGGTGTGTTTGTGAATCCTAGGAGAAGTCTCCAATGCTTGGAATTCACTCCCTCATTATTACTTCTCAGGATCCTTACCTTCTTTCAAGGTTTGCCCCAGCTACAAACTCTCCTTGAGACCTTCCTTGATTCTAAGCTCTCCATGCCCTCTCCCTCTCCCCACATACATACAAACACACCCCTGTTGCTAATGCCCTTTCCTCCTCAAATTACCTTGTATCATACTTCTGTATATATCTCTTGTATCCATCAAGTACAATGATAACTTCTAGGGGTTATTTTCTGAGGTAACTGAGATATCCCTAGTCTAGCATGGAGGTATCTTGCATATAATAGATACATAGTGTTTGTTGAATGAAACTAAGTTATGATCTGTGGCTCCTAAAACCTGAGAGGCCCCAAAATGATAGTTTCTCCCTCCCCAATTAGGGGAAGTTCTGGGATGCTATCCATCTGTTCCATAGGGTCCTTCAAATTCCAAACTTTGACCAGGTCAGAGCTGTAGTCAAACCCTACCCCTGTGATCTCAGGGATTGATTGGGGTCTTGGAGCAAAGCCCAAGGCAGTGACCACATTTGCCCTTTCTGGACTCTAAGCTAAGAATTCTGACCCTTCGATTTCTCTGAGCCTAAACTCCTCCCCCTCAGGCAGCCAATCCAGAAATATTTATTGAGCATCTTGTTATGCACAAGGGCTGAAAGGCAGACAGCCGAGTAAGATTCTGCCCCTGCCCTTCTGGGGTTCCACATTAACTGAAAAACAACCAATAGCTCCCTATGATTTGATTTTCTGAAGGAAGCATGAGTTGGGCTAGGCCTTGAAGCATTTTAAGGCTTGCAGAGGAGAAGGACATTCTAGGCAAGGAGTAAGTATGATCAAAGGAAGGGGGCCTGTGTGGGAGCCCACAGGAGATAATCTAATCTGGGGAATTATGGATGATAAATTGGGCAAGGTAGGGAGGTGCCTGGGACTTGAATGCCAGGCTAAATAAATAGTACTGCTTTTGTAATATGAAGACCTAGATTCAAATTCCAGCTCCAGGCTTTCTAGAGCCTGAGTTCTCATCTTTAACATAAGGAGGCTGGACAAGATGATCTCTTAGGTCCCATCCAGCTCTAAATCACATTGTAATCCTGTGACTTTCTCCTCTGGACAATAGGAGCCATTGAAGCTTCCTGAGCAGGGGAGAGATGTGGTCAGAATTCTAATTTGTACAGCATTTTAAGGTTTGCAAGGGGGATTATGTGTATATCATCTCATTTGATCTTACAACAACCCCATGAAGGTGCTATTAGGGTGGGAGAAACTAAGTGGCTTAGCCATAGTCAGTCATAGCTATTAAGGGTCTAAGGTAGGACTCCAAATCCAGCACTCTTTCCTATACACATTTGTTGTCTTTTGTGGAAGATTTAGAAACCAAATATTGGTCAAGAGGTCAGGGTGAGGGCAAGGAGTTCACAGCTCTTTTGCGGCTTAGCGGCTGGTGCCTACGTAGTCCTGGTGCCTGGGCTCTTAGCAAGGGCTAGCCAACAGGAAGATTGAGTCATTACTCTGCCAGATTCAGGCATCCTGGGCCTCACCCTTCTGGGTGAGCCAGTCATGTGGGGCTCCTTCCCTATGTCCTGGGGCCAGGCTTGGTGTGGTCAGTGACAAAGCAATGAGGCATGTACCTGGCCTAACCCCAAATCTAGCCCAAGGTTCCCTAGGACTCCCAAGTCCACAGCTTCCTGTTGTGCCAAGGTAGACGGACAAACATGGTCCCCAAAGAGGCTCATGAGTCAACCCAGCTCCCGCCTACTGACCCCTTTTGTAGCATGGAGAAGACTCAGACCTTACTTTCTCCCCTCCAATATCTCCTCATCCTGGGGGAAGGGGAGCACAGGTGTAAGACCCTGGGAGTGGCAAAGGCAGGGAAATCCTATAGCAAGTGAGGAACTAGAAGTATTAGGGTGTGGGGCTGTGGATTCCTAGACAGACTGGAAGCATAGAATTCTGAGTAGAAAAAGTCTATAGAGATCAAGTCCCATCCTTTCATTGTACAAGTGGGGAAGATATAAGGCTCAGACAAGACAGCATTTGCCTAAAGTCACATAGTAAGTTAATGGCAGAGCTGGCTCTGAAGGAACCCAGTGAAAAATCATAGGACTTAAAGTATCAGGAGACCTGGGTCCTCTGTGTGATTTGGAGTCCTTAGTGTCCTCCTTTTTGTGGTCTTCAGTTTGTTTCTCCATAATAAGAGAATTGGACCACAGTCTCTAAGATGCCTTCCCATCAATTACCAAGCACCCACTAGGTGCTAAGTGTTGACAACACAAAGACAAAAATGAAAGAGTCTCTATAGTTATGGAACTTGTTTTCTATTCTGTCTCCAGTTTTGAAGTGCTAGGCTTGTAGGTTGCAGAATTGGACTGCTGGGGAATGAGTTCAAATTCCACCCAGACTCAAGTGTGAGGGATTCCCTTATTCCTGAAACCTAGAGGCCCTCTCCATTCTCCACTTTCTCTTGATTAGGAAGTCTCTCCTTTCCTCCAAATCACCCTAGCAGCTCCTTACCCCCTTGAGATCTGCCGGTCTCACTTTTCCCTGCACTTACTACTCCACAAAGATCCTGGAAGCCAGAAGCTTCTGAACTTTAACCTCCACCCTGCCTTGAGAAGTACCCAGCTAGACCTTAACCATTATTTAAGGTCCCTGTTCCATATCCTAAAGCTCTGGAATCTCTGAGACCACTGAACCTAAGTGATCCAGGATGGTTCAGATGTGAGTGGTTGCAGGTTTGGTTTCCATTGCTTCTAGCCTCAAATCCCAGGGGATAGATAAAGTGGGAGACACAAGGAAGTGCCATAGGCCAACTTGAGGAGTCAAATTTTGGAGTTGAGAAGTCAGAGGTTATAGACCGTAGAAAGAACCTCAGAGCTTAAAGGGGCATTGGAGATCATCTAGACCAGGAGTTCTTAACCTGGGGTATGTGAGCTAGGTTTACAAAATCGGTAACTACCTCGACATATTTGATTTCCCCCGTATTTTATTTTGTGCTTTAAAAAATATTGAGGTGACCATGGGCTTCACCAGATTGGCAAAGGTTAAGAACACCTGATTGAGTCCAACTGCCTTATGTTATAGATGAATAAACTGAGGCTGAGAGGAGCACGAATATGCCTAAGGACACATAATAAGTGGACCTCTTGTCCAGAGCTCTATCACAAGAGCTTTTCCAGGAGCCCTGAAGACCAATTTAGCACTTTGTTTCTTTCCTCGCAAGTCTTTGGGCACTCTGTGTCTTCCTGACGTCCCCCAGGTCTCCCTGGGATCCCTCAGGAAAAATCTGATTGCCTCATTCTTGAGAACGAGCAAGGGGCCCTTCCATGCAGAGCAATCTCCCCTACAGCTACTAAGACCCGAGAGGCCAGTATTACCGGATCTCTTCTCTCACCTCCCTCTTCTCCAGAGGATAGGGGAGGGGTTGGAGGACGATAGGGTCAGGAAGAATTGAGGAGGCAACAACCCGACCCCGGAGCCCATGGTGGAAGGAAGTCAGGGGGAGCACCAGACTAGAGGATAAGCTGGGCCCACCCAAGTGGGTCAAGCAGCCTTAACCTACCGGGCTGGCGCAGGACTAATGAAGGCTGGTCGGAACCTAAAGTGTATATGTGCCCTGTTGTGGCTGGATCACCGGGTTGGGGGTAGGGGACCTGGGGACACACAATTCTTGATTGACTTTGGGCCGCCCGGGCAGTGACGTGAAGGCGGGCGGGCCCCTTTGTGACGTCACAATCAGCTGTTTGAGCGTTCCAATTTGTGCCGTGAGCCCCGGTGGATCTGCTGCCAATACACCAACCCCCGCCGGGAGCGCTGGAAGCAAAGCTCGCATCCCCGCAGCCAGCTAGCCCCAGAGCCAGCCCCCAGCCATGCTGCTGTACCTCTAAGGAGCCTCCTGCCCTGGGACACTCTGCCACACAGCAGGCTCCCTCCCCCTTCTCCCGTCGCCTGCTCCCCAGCTCCGGCCCGGCCAGCTCCGCGCTCGCTGCCCCAGGACGTGGCCGGCGAGTGGAAGCAGCCCCAGGTCAGTGCAGTCCGGACTGGGCCTCTCTCTGCAGCTCTGACCCGGGATGACCTGAGGGCTGTCAGAGTCGGAGCGTGGTGGGGGGCTCGGGGCTATTTTTGTGGCTGCTCAGGGACCCGCACCGCTCAGGGACTTCGGGGGGCCGTTTATGGCTCCGACTCCCGGCCCCCGGGGAACGGCGCGGAGGTGTGGGCGGGAAGAGCAGCCGTTGGAGGTCGAAGTGGGCGAGGAAGGGGGCTTGCGGCTCTCTGTCGGACCGGGGGCTGCTCGGGGGACCCGGCTTCAGGAAAGAGAGGACGCTCCTGAAGCTACGCAGATGCTACTGCGGAGGGGACTGAGCGGATTGGAGGATGCTCGGGGGCTCCAGGGATCGCGGCTTAGAGGCCTGGGTGCAAACCCTGCCTCTTCTGAACGCGGCGACCCCATGGCTGCGGAGGCTGGGCTAGGCTTGCCCGGGACCGCTGGACCCTTCCTCCCGCGGGGCTGCCCTCCCTCCCTCGCTAGAGATCGGGCTTCACTCCTGGGCCTTTGTCTCTTGGCTTCGCCGCTTCACCAAGCGCAGGAGCCTGGAGCCCTACTGCCCTCTGCCCATTGGCTCCCTGGGGTTGTCCAATGCGGTTACATCATCATATTTGCATATGACATTGAGTCGTCACCAAGGCCAGCTCCTCCCCGCCACCCTCAGCTCCCCCAACTCTGACTGTCCTCTGGTGACCCGGCCGGGTTGGAGCTGGATAGAGGCCTGATGGGGAGAGGCCTGTGGCTGGACTGGAGGGACCCGGGAGGGTTGGGGGGCGGGGGTTAGAGTTCGAGGAAATGACAATTACTAACCTGAAGCCTGACATCTAGGTTTAGTGGGTCTGGTCTCTCCATAAGGCCACCGAGGGCAAGTAATGATGATATGCATTAGACTTTAAAACTCCTGGGAAACTGAGACCTTTCTGTGCGATTAGAGAAACACAAGCTCAGGGACTCCAAGAGTTGGAAGGCTGATGCTGATGCTGTTTCCCCTTAGCCTACCTAGCTCTGACTTTCACTCCATAGTGAAAGACTACCCTGGGAATGAGGGAAGTGAGGCACCAGTGGCAGGTAATACAATCCTGGAGCTTATGACCTGTGGGGCAACATTGCCTGTCTGTGGTCCAGTTGGAGCTGGTGAGGTTTGTATTACTTTTCTCTGCTGGCCTGTCTGCTTTTCTGCTGCTCTCCTTGCCCTTGAAGAGGAGCTAGGTTGAGTGGGCAGGCAGAGAATAAGGCAGTTATCCTTCTGGAGGGGTAGGGTGGGAGTGGTGCTAGTGGTAAATGTGCATAGTACTTGGCCTGTCCATCCTGCTTGATGCAGTATAAAAAGCACTGAATTTGGGGTCAGATTACTTAGATCCCAAGCCAGGCTGAGCTAAGATGGGCTTCTTGGTAATTTTTTCTCGCTTTCCAACTGTCAAGTTTCCCCATCTGTAAATGGGGACAGTAAGACTGCCCACCTCACCAGGCTGAAGCAGGGTAAGCACCCACAAAGCACTATAGAAATGTGAGCTGCTGCTACGATGATGATGATGATCCCCTTTCCTGTTGAAGCAGTTGTACCTGGAGGAGACCAGGCGAGCATTTGGTTGAGAGGCCTAGTTTTCAGAGCTGAGGTTCTGGGGTCCCATTCCTAGCTGTACCACTGACTCACTTGGGAGCCATAGAATCTATTTTGGGCACCTCTTGCAGTGACTAAAGGGATTTGTCCTCCCAAGGGCTATTTGGGGAAGTTAAAAACAAGGAAGCTGCTTGGCTAGTAGGAACCTGCTTGGGCTCTGATGCACCCCTGAAAGTGGTGGGATGGGACTGAGTGAAGGTAACCAGGTGTGTAAGGATCCCAATTCCTGACAGTTGTGTGGAATGCTCAGTTCATGAACCAAATCTGCCTTGATCTTCAACTAAGCCACAATATCCTAGGATGTCAAAGCTAAATGTGACCTTAGAGACTACAATGTCCAATCTTCTCATTTTACAAAAGGGAATGGTTTGCCTAAGGTCACACAAGTAATAAGTATCATAACCGGAACTGGAACTCGGGTCTCCTGACTCCAAATCCAGTGCTCTTTCCATCATATTTTGCAGCCCCTTGGACCTCAGAGCTCTTCTCCCCTACTCATCACTCTCCCTATGGTGCCAAGCCCCCTTTCATAGGCTGAGCTATCCCTTTTCTTGGAAGTGAGAGAGGTCTGGTACAGGGAATACATGGTGAGGGAACTGCCTGTACCGATACATATCAGAAACTCTCCAGCAATTTATAGTTTTACTTGCCTGGGGAACTGACTTGCTCAGAATCATGTAATCCAGTGTCAGAAGTAGAACCTAAGCCTGGGTCTTTTTGACCCCAAAGCCGGATTCTCTATCCACTGTCTAGGCTTATTTTAATCCCCTAAGACAGGCCACCATTCAGACTCTTTTAGGACAGATGGGAATACAGGATGCACTGGACAGAAAACCTAAGTGACTTGATGCCCAGTCTCAGGCCTGGAATATCTGGGCCCAAGGCTCTGAATTGTCTCAGATCAAATAGATGAGAATATTTATTTAGCCTGCTGTCCTTGGGGGATAAGGAGGTATGGGAGGGAGTGGTAGAAAGAGGAAAATATTCAGTACTTATGGGAAAGACTGCCTCCCTGGGTCCACACTTTGTGTCTGAGGAGTCCTCTCTGGTGCAGGAAATCTTGCTCAGCTTTTAATAGAGGGGAGGGGATGAATTTCTCTGTTGTCTTTCTCCTACTCCCTCCAGGGAGTTTCCCTTTCCTGCCAGGGTTGAAGGTTCATTACCCTAATCCTACACCCCTTCCTCCAAAACTGTCCCCACTGGGATCTGGGACATTGCTACCTCCTATTCCAGGTCTTGGGGAGCATCCCTGGGTGGACAGAAGGGTCTTTCCTATGCCCAGCTTGAGTACAGATATGGGAGTGGGAGCCAAGACCTGACTGATTTTTAGCTTCCTTTTCCTCAGGTCTCTGTAGGGCCATTGAAGCTGGGTCTTCCACTGCTACCTCCCCCACCCCTACTTGTGCACCATGTTCCAGCGCCTCACCAGCCTCTTCTTTAGCACCAGCCCACCCTCTGAGGAGCCTCCCTCTCCAACAGCCTTCATCTGCCCTGAGGATGAGGAAGAAGTGGATGGATGGCTCATTATTGACCTGCCTGGTAAGTGGCTGGAGAATACCTTGGGTGCCTGGTCCAGCACATCCCCTGTCCCAGTCACAGCTCCAGTTAAGAGTCCATACAAAGGTCTCTGGGCTCAGAGAGCTGGGGATGGGAGTAAGGATAGAATTCCTGGGTCCTCATATCCCCCAAATTGGGAGGGGATGATGGCTAGGAGATATGCCAAAATTCTCTTTCAAGGCCCATTTGAAAGTATTCAAGTATTGAAAGTATTGGAGTATGTGGAGGTCCAAGAGAATGACTTCTATTGAAAGGGTTGGGGCGGGGGGGGGGTAGGGGGAGGGGGGGAGGATCAGCCCAGAGAAGGGAGTGTTGATTCTTGAGGTAGAAGATCCTAGGGAGGGGGACAGATCTGGAACCTGAGGGAAGTATCCAGAGGGGGATACTAGGCCTCTGACTGGCTGAGCAGGAGGGGATTGTTGCTGAGGCCAGAAGGGTCTTTCACAGCTCTCTTCCCCCTGGGGCAGCAGCTGCTTCTACAAGGGTTGGTCTTTGCTCTTGTCCTAGGAGAATAGCAGTGGGCCTGGCCTGGGGGAGGAGGAAAGAAGACTTAACCAGAGAAGAAGGGTACCAGCTGGGGGGAAAGGATACCCTAATGCCAGTGGGCTTTGGGTCTGACTAATTATTCCCTTCTTTTCCCTATCCTGTGTCCCTGTGTGTGTGGTGCCCTGCCCCTGCTGCTGCCCCACTCCCCTCCCCTCAGATAGTTTTGCTGCCCAACCAAGCCCCAAACCAGCCCCCTCCTGCTTGCTGGATGAGAGCTGGTTTGTTACCCCTCCCGCCTGTTTCACTGCAGAGGGGCCTGAGCTGGGGCCTGCCCACTTGGAAAGCAGCCCCTTGGAGGACCTGCTCATCGAGCACCCCAGTATGTCTGTCTACGTCACTGGCAGTACCATCGTCCTGGAGCCTGAGCCTGACCCCACGGTGACCCCACCCCAGAGCCCGCCCCCAGCCAGAGCTGGCTACCGGTGAGCCCCAGGGACAGGGGTATAGGGAAGGAAGAAGCTAGAATGAGACCAGGGTAAGGGGCAGGGCAAAGGTCTAGGGCACAGAGGGGATCTGAGAACACTGATGGAAAAGGCCAGTGGGGCCTGATAAGTGCAGCCTTCTACCAGACAGCCTACAGAGGCTGAGTCCTAAGGTTGTCCAGAGGCAGAACCATGTCTGAAAGTGCCACTTCTGCTGGTCTAAGCACCAGGGCAGCATTCTTTAATGGGCTAGTGTCACCTGAGATTGGGTCACTTAGGTTTTATAGAGACCTTTAGTGTTAGAAAAGGGGGCTACTGTATGTGTGTTTGTGTGTGGAAGGGGTGGGGGGTTCCCAATGGCATTTCTGCTCTGGAGCTGTGGTGATGGTTAGAATCATGACTGTCCCTGGGAGATCAAAGGGTGGAAAGGGAGGTGTCAAGCTAGGATGCACTGCTGTCCTTTTGTCCCAGATCACTAGGCTAGAGAAAAATTCTGTACAAGGTAGGGCTTGGTTATGCCTGGAAAGGCCAAGAATAATAGATTCCCTGGTGATGTGGAAGGTAAGGATAAGTAGCCTAAGCCAGGGGTTAACCTGTGTGTCTGTGTGTGTGCTTATGTGTGTGACAATAGACCTTTTTAGTCCATGAAGCCTATGGATGTGTCTTTTTTTTTTAAAGTTCACAGACCTCAGGTTGAGAACTCCTGGCCTGAGCAGGACTCTGGTCCTTCAGTTAGCCCAGCTTGATAGGGAGGGGAGTGTTCCTGAATAGTGTAGCCAGAGAGGAGCCAGAAAGTAAGGCTGGAAGAATCAAAAGAGGATGATATCCTTTGGGGAGGACTAGGAATGCTCTTTAAAGACAAGGAACTGGCATGTTCCTTGTAGGATGGACTGGGGGAAGAAGAAAATGGAGGCAGAGAAGTTAGGTCGCTAAGAGTCCAAGCAGGAAATGATGAAGCCAATCTCTAGATTGGCAGTGGAAAGGACACTGTGAATCAAAGCCTGGAATTAGGGGTCAGGCAGGATGGGGAGTTTAGGTGTTACTGGGGTCTGGGCAGTGGAGATGGGCCTCCTCCAAACCCAGCTCTGAGTCTACTATATGTCTCCTCTCCCCAAGGGAGGTCATGCAAGTACAAAGGGATCCAGGCCCCAGGCACCACACAGCCTCGATGCCCCCTCGGACAGCAGTGCTGGAAAAGGCCAGTCAGGCCCGGTGGGTGCAGCGGGCCCGCCAGAGGGCTGACAGACAGAGGCTGAGCCCAAAAATTGTCCAGCGGCAGAACCGTGTTCGAGAGCGCCACCCCCGCCGGTCTAAGCACCAGGGCAGCTTTCTCCACCAACCGTGCCAGCGCCAGTTCAATTACTGACGCCCCCGAGGTCACCTGTCTGCCCACTCTGGGCTGCTCCAATCTACACTGCTCTCAAATAAACCTCTCACCAGCCTCCCTCCCTCCCCCGCCCCCCCCCCCCCGCTGACAACTACCCCTTACCCACTTATTCTCACCAGCCTGCTCCTGCCACCTATTCTGGACCTAAGTGGTGACTCCCACATGCTCCATGGACCTGTTGCCCAAGGCCCTGCTTCCCCAAGGGAGCCTCTACCCAAGGAGAGGGAGAGGTGTAGCTAGCCATCCCTGTGGGGTAGCTGCCTCCCTCTGTTCATTTCCCTGTCCAGATGCCAGTCCCTTACTTTGGATCTCTGCATTCCCCAACTGATTCCTCCCACTCCCTACCTCTAAATCCTGATCCCCCTCTTCATCCTTGATCCCCATTTCCCTACATCTGACTCCACCTGCACACATACAAAACACTGGTTCCATCACAACTCTGTCCTTCCCTAACCTCTCTCTGAGGATATCTTGTCAGTGAGTGACAGAAGTCTCTTTTCTAAGGCTCCCTGACAAGCCTTGGCAACTAGGTTGCAATGCCCTAAGGCCCAGTTCCTATTGTCTTTACTCTAGGACAGAATCCTTAGAGCTGGCCCAGGTCTTTGAAGGTGAAGTATGTTGGAGAGGGCTGTGAGATGTGAAACTTGAGAGTGAAAGAATGGAGGGATTCAGACAGGAACAGAAAGTCAGAGACAGACTTGAGAAAGACAGTGAGTCAGGAGAAGCAGCTTTGGAGGAGGGAACCCCTGGATTTTTACTAGCTGAGAGGGACCCACAACCCTGGCTTAGAAAACTGCTTTTATGGAGTAAATAGGTGGTTTCTTCAGTCTGATGCTACCACACACCCACTTCTGGTCCAGGTGATTCCTCCCTCTCCCACCCTGCCCCAAACTTTTGGAGTTGGGGAGATTCAGGAGACCCTGTGAAGCCTGGACTAGCAGTTTTCCTGGGGCTGGGGGTGGGGGCTCTCTAGGGACTGGGTTGAGGGCAGTGAAAAGGATAACTTCTGACCTCAGCCTGATGGCTCTAAATGACTAGGCTGCTCAATTTACTTCCTGCCTCAACACCAGAGTTCTGTGCTTTGCATTATAAATGTCTCCCCCACCCTAGAGCTAGGGAGAATCCTCTTTGCTCCAGGATGGGCAGATCTTCTGGTGGTCCCCTTTCCCGTGTTGACTGCTGTTTAGATCCAGGCCTCGGAAGAAGGGCAGAGAAGCACCTCTTCTGGCCCTTTTACTGCCCACCTGTTCTGAGGTTCTCGCCCCTAGGAAACTAGAGTTAGTATCAACCTTTACTGAGGTTCCCTACTGTCTTTCCACCTGCAGAAACCAGGTGGCTGTTCTTTATTTTTTCCTGAGGTGTGTGGGACAGGGAGAGAAGGTCCCAAAACCATGGCCAGCCTCAGACTTAAGAAGTAGCTGCCCCTTTTGATGCTGTGGGCTGTGAATTCTGGGCTTAGATACCAGCAACTGTCCCCTTGCAATGCCCTGAATTGCCCCTGTCAGTTTTTCTAGATGTCATTCTTTTTTCCTGTCTCTTCATCTTGATTTATTTCTTACGATAGTTCTGTCTCTTGAAACTTTCAAGGATTTTTCCTCTAACACGAGTCACTCTGTCCACATAGTCCTTTTCCCATTACTTGGCCCTGGCTTTATAGCCAGAGTACAACAGGGCTGGCTTCCTGCATCCAGGTGCCTATAGCTTCGTTGCCACGTGGGCAGAGGCCCCCACCCCCAAGGAGTAAACGAAATTATTTTTTAAAAATTAAAACAAGATGACATTTTAAAAATACGTTCAGCTCACTCAGAAGTCAGTGACTAATATCGCACCTTGTCCCTCAACCCTTTTTCAGGAGTCTTTCCCTAAACCCCACTTCAGTGGCCTCACGCCCAGCTACGCTGCGGCTTCCCAACACCTGAGATTTCCAGAGTTCCCATCTTCCATGTCCCAGTGCTGAGGAGCTGAGTTTGATACCTAGTAACTGTTTAATGGGGACTGGAGCGAAGGAAGCCTGGAGAACAGGAGCCTACGATCCTAAACCTTGTTTGCCTCCTGTTAATGCCTCCCCTCACAATTCCTTCAAGTCTTTATACCCAAGGATCAACACAAGCTGATCATGAGACTTTTCTATCATCCCACAGACACTGTCGCATCTGAGTGTGGCAATATTTTATGTCTAGATTTTTAAGACCTGACACCGCTCCGTCCCCTGTTTGTTCGACTACAGAGCCACCAGATCTTCTCATACTATACGGACTGTGTATGTGCCTTTCACCCTTAGCATGGTTCAAGGTTTTTCAAACCACAGAACTTGAACAAATTAAGGAACCAGTGTATTCATGAAGTCCTATGCAACCTAAGACAGGGAGTCAGAGTTTGCAGTGACAACTGTCAGAGACATTGAGGAAATGACCAGTTTGTGGAGTATTAGCTAGACATCAGTATAACCAGCACTTCCACAAAATTGTGTGCGTGTGTGAGTGTGCGTGTGTTGGGGGAGATGCCCATCTTTTTGTTCTAAGAATTTGTTTTTAAAGGGTAAGCACTGTTCACAAGGGCAGCATCACTCTTTCCCTGTTGAGTCTTGAGAGCATGAACCTGCCCTTCCCTTGCCCCAAGTATCACTTCCTGGTCCCCTGCTCCCCACTCTTTATCCCACAAGGGCCATTGTGTGTGTGTATTTACCTGTACGGTTGTGACCGGTTTTAAGCATACATGTGCAACCAGGAATCCACCAATCCACCCCTTAGACAGAGCGCCTCCTCTCCTCTCTTAGAGGGCATCACTGCCCCCCCCCCGGTGCTCCAGATCTCGAATGCCTTACTAAATCCACATGGCTTTGAACTAGGGGGCTTAATGCAGACAAACCACCCACTTTCTGATACCTATGACTGTAGCCCTGCCACCTGGTTCCAAACAAAGCTAACAAGCTGTGTCTCTGTCATATGCTGAGCCCAGACTGTAGAAGGAACCTTCCTTAGGATGTTTAAAATGTGTATTGGTGGACTCAAGGATGCAACCACCTTGACGCTGTCATGGTGTGTGTGTGTGTGTGTGTGTGTGTGTGTGTGTGTGTGTGTGTGTGTGTGTGTGTGTGTGTGTGTGTGTGTAAGTAACAGGACTCTTGAGTGTTAGACTGTAACGCTATTCCTCTGTGGGGGAAAAAATTAATATAAAAGAAAACACAAGAAATAAAAATCTATTTAAAGCATATACTGAAGTTGAATTATCTTGGTTTGGGGTGTGCCAGAAATCCCATGCTTATGGGACACTGAGCAGGAAAAGGGATGTGTGGGCATACAATGGGATAAGGCCACATTCCTGGTCCCCTTTTGCTTCCTGATGGGTGATGATGATGGGGGATGCTGGCATCTTAAGAGAAAGGTCTGAGGCAAACTCAAGAATGGCAGCCAGCCCAGTGCTAAAAAGACCATCTTCATTCTGGGCTGCTCTGCTCTAAATGCCATGAGCCTGAGAGTCACAGGATCCACAGGCAGAAGGCTTGAATAGAAGGAAATAAGAGCATATAAATGGAGCACCATCTCTGAGGAGGAGCTAAGGTACAGCAAGCCACCCTTCTTGCTCAGGGCCTAGAAGGTCTAGCTGGGGTGGGCAGGTGTGGAGCCCCACTGGGCCTTCAGATGTGGCTCAGATTACCCCCTGGACAGGATGCTGGTCAGGATACTCTCTATGAACAGTGACTGTCAAGTGCCAAGAGAGGAAGGACCACAAATGAAAAGGCCTACTGACCTAATGGGAAAGATGACAGCACAGCCTGAAGCTGAAGACCCAGGGATAGAGCAAGGGAGGAAAGAGAAAGCAATGCACAGCCATCTTGAGCCTCCAAGGGCTCCAAGAAGCCAGTGTGCACCTACATCAAGGATCCCAGCCTCAGGGCTCAAAGCTCCTCTTACCTCAGCTGGGAGAGACAAGAGTAAGGGATAATAGCTAATATTTATATAGTGCCAGCTATGTTCCAGGCACTGTGATAAGTGTTTTACCATTATCTCATTTGATCCTCAACAACCCTGGGAGGTTGGTACTATTATTATCATCCCCATTTTACAGATGAGGAAACTGAGACAAAGAGGTGAAGTGACTTGCCCAGGGCCACAGAGCTAGGGTCTGAGACTGGATCTGAACTCAGGTCTTCCTGATTCCAGGCCTGGTATTCTATCCACTGGGCTACCTAGCTGCCCAAAGAACAGCTAAGAATTTGTGAACAGAATGGCTGATGCTCAGCATCTTCAATGAATAAAAGCTTCCTTCTATACCTAGGGTGATAGATTTAGAACTGGATCTTCAAGGTCACTTAGTCCTGAATTTGCAGTCAGGAGCTGGTTTTGAATCCTGGTTCTACCACTTTTTCCTGTTTAACCTTTGGTAAGTATCACTTCACCTCTCTGGGCCTGTTTTCTTATCTGTAAAATGAGAGGATTGAGGTTCCTTCCAGTTCTGCAACTCTGATCTCTCATTTTACAGGTGAGAAAACCTTGTCCTTTCCTCAGAGGAGGCTCCACTATTGCTAACAATACCCTTCATGGTCTAAAACAATGACATTTATTTAGAGCATTTGGAATTCCACATTATACAAACCCTTAGATTCTCTTTATTCACTGGTCCATTTTTCTACAACAAATATGTCTGAAATCATCTATAATAAAATTATTTACAACATTTCCAAAGGAGAGGGATTATTTCTGCCCCCAATACAGCTATTCACAGAGTACTTCCACTGCACAAAACATCACCAGCTACCTAAGAATGGCCACTGTGCCTGCTAATTTGCTTAGGAAACAAATGTGAAATTAGACATTTACAACAGTAGGTTGTCATTTCTTACAAGAGACAACAACTCTTTTTGGAAAACCTGAACTTCATCTTGCCACAACAAATGGATCATCAACCCTGCCTCTCTTGCTGTTCATTAATAAAGAGGCCACGTGGTTTGAGAGATGGGCAGCATTATTAAAATGATTAACTGTACAGAAAGTGTTGTGTTTGTTTTTAAAAATCACAGCTCAAAATTGCTTTTTGTAAAATTCACACACATTTACAAGTCTCAAGTTGCCTCAAACAATTTACTTGGATTTCCTTCGTTTGGACTGCATCACGCTGGCTGCGGGCTCTGTGGGGAAGAAAGGAAAAATATGTACAGCTTAGGACATCTACTCCCTGGCTCCATTTTTCTACTAATCTTTGGCAAGTGCTGCAGTGATAAACCTTCCTCACTGGGGATCCCATGAGAGCTAGAGCTGAGCTGCAAAGTAGGATCTCCTTGGGCTGTATCATTATACCACAATTCTCAGGGCAAAGTACTGGTCGGCCAGCAGAGGAGTAGGCAACAGGATCAGAGACTCAATTCAATTTAACATTAACAATTATGCATCTACTGGGCACAAACTATTGCTTAGGTGCTGGGGGTAGAAAGATTCTGAAAAAATGATAGTCTGTACCTTTATGGAGGCTACATTCTAACGAGGGCAATATGACATGCACACTATATTTCCGCTGGGTGGGAGAGTGATGGAAGGGAGCAAAAAAGTTCACCGATATGGAAGAGGTGACTAAGACAGCATATTCTCTGCAGCTGCTGGCTGTTGTTGAGGCAGTACCTGGTATGTGTGCCTCTGGGGAAGCACATACACCCAGCAGCACAGACCCTCAGGAGAAACACTGAGTTCTCCTCCTGGAGTCCCAGAGGATTATCTGGTTGGCTGAGTGACCTGCCTACAGATTCATAAAAGGCCCTAGCAGGAACAGCAGTAGCTACAGGTATCATTACCTCTACAGAGTTAGCTAAGTGGCATCTGTTTCCAAACCCTGCAGCAGTCTCAGGCCAGCCCCACTCCTCTCAGCTGACTAATGCCTGAAGGGAGCCTGGCAGGGTTCTTTTGTAAAATTCTGAATTTAATCACCAAATAAAATATGCACTTCCATTTATGTAGTAGAAACAAAAATTATTGTACATGAAATTACAAATCTATTATGTACAGCTTGCTTTTCTTTTTTAAATATAAATTAAATATAAAGTCACCCTGTAACTTTCAAAACTGTCCTGCCTGTCTGTGATTTTTTCAAGCCCCTTCTGTGCATTTAATGATCCATTTTTCTTTCTTTACTTCACTTTTCTTACTTTTATTTGGGCTAGGCAATGGGGTTAATGGCGCTATATTATTTAACATTTAATATAATATTATTGACACATAATATATGTGTAATATATTGTCAATATATTTATTCTTTTTCTTTTTCTTTTGGCTAGGCAATGGGGTTAAGTGACTTGCCCATGGTCACACAGCTAGTAAGTATTATGTGTCTGAAGCTGGATTTGAACTCAGGTGCCACCTAGCTGCCCCACTTTCTTCTTTTTCTTGTCTACCCTGTCCCTAGTTTTCCTCCTACTCCTACTTCCCTAATCTCCAAACTGAAAAAGAAGAAAGCAGCATCCTTCTAACAAACACAACACATTCTGTGTAGCATTCCTTGCTGCAGACTACTTTGGATCCCACTCTCCTATCAAGCAGCCTAACTTGCTGCTTTTCTTACACTTCTGGATTTTCTGATGGTCTAAGTGAGCAAAGACCAGGAAGACCTCAACAACCCAACGTGGCTTCCAATGTTTATCTTTCTTCTGGCCTTAGAGGTGTCTGAAGCAGACATAGCCCAGAGACTTCAAGCATGTGAGTAAGGGCTAACAATGGGGAAAGGAAAAAGGGAAAGGTGTTTCAGAACCTTTCTGTCCTCGATCTAGATTTAGTCCTTTGAAATACTGAGTAGTGTTAACTACAAAATGGTTTCTGCTGACAAGACAATTTTAAGTAAGAAAGGAAATCCTCAGACACTCAGCAATCTCTTGCTCCTTCTTTCCTGCCTGAAATATAGCTGTCTACAGTGTTCTCCTCCGTTAACTAGGGTTATGGTGCAAAGAATTTTGTGTCCCCTCAGTCTCAAGTGCCTATGGCACAGATTCTGGGAAAATGAAAATGGCAGTTGGAGAGAAGATGTAGGATTAGGTCGCCTTAAACGTCCACTCCCTTCAATCTCCTGCCTGTGGTTATTAGTTCCTTTTTTCTCTATTGTAAAGTCACTGGCTAAAGAATGTGCCCCAATGCATGCCACACATGTCATCCCCTCTCAGGAACATGATATGCTAAGGCCACAGGTTTTTAGTTCATATTAGGTGAACTGAAGGCACAGGAATCCAACCTACCTACATCTGCACAATTCTCTGATGTCAGAGGCTGGCACCTTGCTTCTATTTCTAACCATTTGAGAGCTACCCAGCCAGGTAAAGACCAGATCAAACTAAGGCAGGGTTGCAAACATAGGGTACACATTTTGGTGGGGGAAGTCTCTTGGATTCTGTGCTCACCTATGGGAGCACTCAGACACACTAAAGCCAAGAAACACTGTTGACCTATAACACGCCTGTCAAGCCCGGACTGGCCTTAATGAGGCTGAATCTCTTAGTAAGTTAAGAAAGTTCATCAAGAACGGCAGCTCTTGCTTATAAGGGGTACTTGCTTGACTGGCCACTACACACATGCTTTTTTCATACCACTTCCTATTTTAGAACCCCTTCTACCTCCATGAACCCTGTTGATATCCTATCTATCCTACAAATATAGCCTCAGATATGAAGCTATTTTGGAAACCTTCAAATTGGAAATGATCGTTTCTTTCTTTGACTTTATGTACCATTTTGCTTATGTTGCTCTTATACACTTACATAGTCTAATATGCATTATTAGTTATTTGGGCTTGTTACTATAACGTAAGCACAATGAGACTGAGGTCTAAGTCTTATTTCTCTTATATCTCCCTAGGGCATAACATAACGCTTAGCACATGTTAAGTACTTAGCAAATATTTTAAAAATTTAATTGCAGTGTCTTCTCTTCAAGGCCAGCTATTTTATGTTCAAAATCTAGTTCAGGGATAATTATTATAGGAAGGGAAGACTCTTCAAGCTATACAGAAAGAGGTATGAGTTTCTACCCAACTACAAAATGTTCTTGTCCCCTCTCTTCTTGCACTACAGTTTCTATCAATAGCTCGGTGTGATCTTGTCTACCTCTAAACAATAAGCTACCTTATGGTGAGACTTCCAAATTCATGTACCTTTCATTTCACTCTTAGGGGTGCCTAACAGTTAAAACACCTTGGTTGTAGTGAGGCTACTCTTTTTCCTGTCCTTTCCTCTATGTAGG